TTTCTTAAGAAGGCTTTAGTTATTTCCCTATTTTTAGAGCATGGTTAGAGCATGCTCAAATGATCAATGCATGAACACACAAAATACATACTTGAAGCAATCTCAACTTTTGGCAAAGGATAGACACAGTAAGTAATATGTGTAAATGACATTAGCTACAATCTGCTCAGGCTAAAGCCTAGAGCACTCTGATGATGTCATCAATTAAGCAGTTTGCCGGAGAGAAGAGATGATGGTAACACTTCTGAGTAACAGGAGTTAGGATGCTCAAGGTGGAAAATGAGCATCTGTATTAATGGTAGAGGAAAAAATGTATTAATTTGAGTGTAGAGAGAAGAACAGGTATTTCTGAAATAATGGACATCAAGGAAGTTTATACATTTGCATTGTTTTTAAATGTTCACTAACATGTATCAGTATCTGAGTGAATATAACCGTGAGTTGATCTGTTTGTTTATGGAGACAGGTTCTCGCTCTGCAGTCCAGGCTGACCTAGAGATCACTATGTAGCCTAGACTAGTCTCAAATTCAGGATTATCCTCCTGTCTAAGTCTCTCAACACAGAGGTTGTAAGCATGAGTTACAATGCCTGGCTATAACTGTTATTGTAAGATTATCAACAATGCAGAAAACAAAACAGCTCAAGTAGAAAAGAAATGGTGGGTCACTATGAATTATTATCTATCAAAATACAAAGGTGACTAAAACATATAGAAATTTGATTAACAAAGCTTAAATTAATACTGACTGTCTGGGATAACCAATGAACTGTCACATTATTTATATCTTTTCCTTTGTCAACTTAAATTGATGTAGAAACATTTCAGAGAACATATCATGTCTTATTAGAACAATAAGACTTCTCTGTTTGTATTGAAAAATTATAAACATTTACTTGTCTCTTTTGAAAGCACACCAAATTGTAAACTGAATCTAACTCAATAAAATTCTTTACAGGGGTGATAGGCAGTCTGATTATCAACAGTGGATCATGGGTAAAACCCTTTTTATCAACATTATAACTCTAGTGGTTTTGTATGTATAAAAGATAGTGTCCCAAATCTACCTCTACATTATTTCATTAATTTAAAGCCACTGTCAAAATTTGTATCACCCATATAACTAATATAAAGACAAAATTTTTAAGTTATATAATTAATATTAATCTTAGGGGGAAAAGTAAGAATACCATACTGTCTGTTAACAGTTGGGAGTAATAATCATTGGGAATAAGAGGAAATGTTTTCAGAATAACAAATCTCAATACCAGATGGACTTTACTTAAATGGCATAAGCTCATCATCACCCAGGTTTTAGCTTCCTTTCTTCTTTATGATAAAAAATAACAATACAAATAAAAACATGCACTTAAGATATTATTTTAAATGTCCTAAGGTCCTTCACTTTTTTCAAGAGAAAAGAACAAACATAAAAATCCTTTTTATTAAAGGAAATGAAAATGGTATTTTCTAGACGCTAGAGAACTAAAAAGTATTAAAGGTAGAGAAGAGTATCAGACCATAGATTAGAATCATGGTGACTGTCTTAGAGCAGCGTAACTGTTTCACCATTCACAAGTATGGAGAGAAGCAATGAAACACAAACAAACACACAAGCAAAAAAATCCTAAACAACACATTTTCCTCATAAAAACCAAGATGGTCACAACTTCAATAACAATAACAAAATACAAGTCAAAGCTACATTTTGAAATTGGGAATAAACACACTAAATATGTTCTGTCTTTAAAAGCAGCAAGGAATGTATTTTATTGACTACTTTTAGAAGTTGGCTGTTATAAAAAGACATCAAAAGTTGAACTGCAAACTGAAATTCTAAAGAAAATCAAAATGTTCTCTCAGTAACATTTGACATAATAGAATATAAGCAATATTCTAGAACAAAAATGATATTGGTTCAAAACAGGCTTTTATAAAAATAAACTGAGTCTGCAAATCAAGTTCTCTGTGCTTGCTTGAATTTTGCAAACAGGTGTGTTTGAAAAATCTGCACAAATTTATCTTTTTCTCTTACTAGAATTGAAACTACTTATTTCAATAAACCCATCATCAATTGTAGCTTTCATCTTTGAGAAAAGTCTAATATATATGTAAATTTTCAGGAGTGACGCCATCTTAGAAAATGTTTGATTAAATTGTAATGGTAAGAACAGATCACCCTATCTTTATTTGATAATAAATCTTACTTTCTGTCATGAAATAAAGTAGTACTTTCTGGATGACTTGATTGCTAATGTGTTTTTGGTTTCTTCTGTTAAGACATTAAATAAAATGCATATAAACCATAGCCAAACACCTCTATAATAAAAGGTAGGTGTGTCTACTCTTCAGCTGAAGAGAGAACTCCTTCTCACTATTCCAAGGAGCTGGTGATAGAACCAAAACCCTTTGCAAGATATGCTAGTGCTCTATCACTCAACTGTAGTCCCAGAAGATTTTGGTAACTTTAATAATGCACAATGTCTAGTTAAAAAAATATTTTTATTTATGTATATGTGTTTGCCTATATAAGTTTATGTGCACCACGTGTGTGCTGGTGCTTTCAGGGGCCAGAGTTAAAGATAATTTTGAGCCGCCTGATGTAGGTGCTATAAACTGAAATAGGCCCCCTGGAAGAGCAATTAAGTGCTTTTAACCACCAAAAGCCTTCCATTTGTCCCATATTTTTAAATCACCAAGTACTTTGATTTAGATGTCACCACCAAAAAAGGACAAGTTGTTTAATTTTAAATGCATTAAAGTAATTCAAGATTCATAATTCACAGAGCTAGTTCTCAAGACTATAGTCATAGATATTTTATAAAGAAGCCCAATTCATGAATTACTTTCCGGTTTCCATCAATTAACAACAAATAGATAATTTTAGAAATTACAAGAATTTTGGATAACATGTATTCATTCTTCAGTGCAATATAAACATAATACAAGTATTATAAACTTATACTAGTTAGATCCTTATGTCAGTTCATACCTATTAATATAGAAATATGCTGGGTGTGGTGGCACAGTTTTAACCTTAGCACTTGACACGCTAAGTGTATTTCTTCAAGTTCCAGGCTAGCTAGGGCTACACAGTGAGATTCTGTAGACTCTAAAACAAAAAATCCAAAATACATTTGGGTGAAATTGATAGTAATGCAGAATTGCCAGACCACCTCACCTCTCTGTCTTTGTTTGTTTTTCGAGGAAGGGTTTCTCTGTGTGGCTTTGGTGCCTATACTGGCACTAGTTATTGTAGACCAGGCTGGCCTCAAATACACAAGAGAGCTGCCTGCCTCTGTCCCCCCACCTCCAGTGCTGGGATTAAAGGCATGGGCTGCCACCACCACCCTGCTGCACAGCTGCTTTTCAACTAATACCATTTGTCCTCTGTAGAGTGACAAGGATTATGGAGACATTTTCTTACATATGTTCTTTACATTTGAAAGAAAGAAAAATAAATCAGAGCTGGAGTGATGGCCCAGCGGTTAGGAGTACTTCCTGTTTTTTTCAGAGCACCACCAAGGCTCAATTCCGCACTCACAATCATCCATACTATAGTTTCAAAGGTTGATACCTTCTTAGGACAAAGAGGCAAATGCCCACACACATAAAATAAATAAATAAAAATAATTTCTCTGATCCTAACGTTATGCTGATGGCTATGTTGAAAAAATTTTAAATCTCTGTGCTTAAGGAAACTATAAAGCAAAATTAGACCTCCAAATGTTACAGGATGTTAAGGGTTAAATTTTTATTGCTGTTTCTACTTCTAAACAATTTTTTTTTCTCTCTCTCTCTCCAGGGAATCTTCTGCTTGCACCAGAACAAATTATAACTTTGTATTCTTTGCTTTTGCAAATCCTTGACTGAGGTGGCTGAGCGTTGCAATCCCGAGTATCAGTTGTAGACCTGACACCAGTACCCAAAAGCCTCCTGTTAAAACTTATTACTAATGGTCAGACTTGTAAATATCTGAATGATCCCGGACCCATAAAAACTTCCACACCAGCGTGATAGCTTAGCGGGTAAACCAGTCGTTTATCACGGACATGCACAACCTGCGTTCCATCCCACTTGGTGGAAAAAGAACCGACCTACTCAAGTGGTTCTCTGATCTCCAGAGGTACCATGGCACGTGAAATCCTATGCGCGCGCTCAAATCACACACTAAAGTTAGAGGAATGTAATATAAAGCCAATTTCAGACAAAGAAGTCTGGTGCAGCGCCGGGCATTGAATTCACGGCCTTGCCCACGTTAGGAAAGCACTGTACCCTGGAGCTACATCCCCGGCCCGAGGAAGCAGGTGGCTAGCTCTTCTTAAGTGAGGAATCAATCAATACCTTCTAATACCGGGTAGAAACTAAACAGGAAATAGCTACTTATTAAGCAAAATTTCATTTCGTATTTCCAGCCGAGGCTCAATATTTACACTTCCACTGTCAGGAATTTTTAAAACTTCACTAGACTGCACTATCCACAAATGAGTGAAAAATGAGCTTCCTAAGCGTGGGCTCAATTGAATAAAGTCAGTCTGTACGCGGGCGGCATTCGAAGTCCGAGCTGCTCGTCATCCACCGCAGCGTTCCGCTGTCAGGTGGGCATACGTCTTTAAGGTTCAATTCGTGCCACTCGCCTTCCCTTGCTGCGGTTTCGACTCAAGGCAACCGACTCTCAGAGCCCAGCACCCTCCAGCCGGGCGCCCGAGGCCACAGGCCTGACCGCCGCTCGGGTTTCGTCGCCGCCACGTTCTGACGCGACGGTGGGCAGCGCAGTCCATCCCCGACCGCGACGCGTAGGCGCCCCTGACACCCGGAGGGCCCTCGGCCCGAGAGACCCGCTTACCCGAAAGAAGTTTCGCCGCAGTGCGAGGCTGGGGAGGGCAACGGAAGAGCTCGTCGGTCCGACGGCCCCGGGAGCTGGTGGTGACGACATCAGCACGCGCAGTAATGGCGAGAGGCGGAGCACGGCAAGCCGGAAGAGGCGGGGCGGCCAACTCTGGCGCGGTGATCTGACGTCACGGCCGCGCCCGGGGCTGCCCGACCGAGGGTTTGAATATGTCGCGCCAGCTGAGAACCTCAAGGTTTGACCCTCGTGCGGGATTTCACGCGGAGGGCAAGGACAGCCGTCCCTCAGTTCCCCAGGGCCTCCTGAAGGCGGCGAGGAGCAGCGGGCAGCTCAACTTGGCGGGAAGGAACCTCGGGGAAGGTGAGGTAGCGCGTAGACGGCCTCTCCCGAGACTAGGCGGGCGGGTCCCCTGGGCACCCACTCGCGGCGTCTCTTGGAAGAGGCCCTGCTAGGACTGTGGCCATGGCTTGCACGGAGTGTTCGTTGGGATTAACATCGTCGTTTGGGAGTAAATTAGCTATGAGATAGATGATAGGCAGGTACTTTGACCTTTCTCTTGATTTAGACTTAACCACCCAGAAAGTGGAGAAATTGCTGTGGTAAACTGTGTGGTTCCTATGACATTCGAACTGTTTTATAGCTGGAATGTGGAAGATTTGGGGACGTAGGTCTAGGAAAGACTGACTGCTGTGGGCAGAGCTTAATGTGCTATATTTTTTTTTAATGGGGAGTTGGAAGATATGGATGCAGACAAATGCAGACAGTGGAGATCTGACCCTTGAGGTTTTATAAGGAGACAAGGACTTCGTTAGCAGCCATTCGCATTGTGTTTGGGGCAAGAATGTGGCTTTCTTCTACCCATGTCCTAAGTACCTCAACGAGTTTGTATTCAAGATGAGCTACTACTGGTTTGTTTGGCAGAGGCAATTTTTTTTTATTATTATTGAGACAAGGTTTCTCTGTAGCTTTGGTGCCTGTCCTGGAACTAGCTCTTGTAGAGCAGGCTGGACTTGAACTCGCAGAGACCATCCTTCCTCTGCCTCCCTAGTGCTGGGATTAAAGGCATGCACCAACACCGTCCTGCAAGAGGCAATTTTAGGATGAGAGCATTCAGGTTGGTGCTGAAAAGGCAGTCATATTTGATAATAGGATCAATATCATTGTAGAGAAGCCCCCTGCACTGGGACAGTAATAGTTACAGTGCTAGGGTCAGCACAGGTTGGCTTGTGCATTGGTCTGTGGGGGATTGTCTTGACAATGCTAATTGACTTTTTAAAATCTTAGTACCCTTTCTGAATTTTTCTTCCATGTTGCTAACTTTTCCATCCGTATTGTTAATGTTCTCATGTGTTCCACTGACTTTCTTTTCTAAGGCTATTGTTCTTTAAAAATATTATGATGATGGGATGCCCCGGACGGCCTGCGAGCCAGGCAGAGGCCGCCGCCAGAGCAGTGCAGGGTCCCCGGGCAAACCGCAGAGTCAGGCGGCTGGATGCGGTGGACAGCAGAGTAAATGGACATAAGGCTATACATAAAGCTAAACATTTATTACTTAAAGAAATGGAGATATAGACAAACATAGAGAGAGAGAGAAAAAAAACACGTGTGCACACGGCAAGGGATGGACAGAAAAGGGGGAAGCCTAGATGGCAACGAGGTCAGAAGTGGCTGGGGTGGGCGTGGCTAGCTCTTAAAGTGACCGCAAAAGGATAACAAAGGCTAGATTGAAATCATCTACTTGTTTGTATATTTTAATTTATTGATAATGTCCTACCAGGAAACTTGAAAGTTTCATGTGGCATTTTGCCTGTTTCAATATCTGTGAAGAGCAGTTGCAATTTTTAAGGCTTCATATTTCCTTGCTTTTTTCATGCTTTTTTTTTTATAGCTCTGTGATGAAGTTTGTACATCAGTTGGTTTGGATATGTAGTCTGGAGTTTTGAAGGATGTCTTTATAATGAATAGATTGTTCTTGAAGGCTCAGTCTCCAATACCTCTTATTAAGGAAGAAACAGACTGCTATGACTTCAAAACCATTAAACCATAAAGATATACATGCATTGAAAATCAGTTATTGCTCACTAATGTACCATCACTGGTTGTCATAGTTAGGGTTGCTAATGCATGCCCCGCCTGGTCCAGTCTCTCAAACGCCATTGACAGTGCCCTTAGTAAGCAGGAAGTAGTCTAGACAACAACACCCAAATTCCCTAAATGATTGTTTACATTTAACGGGGGGGAGGGATATGCTATAGATATTCATACTTTTCTTTAGTATGGATCTTGGTTTATTGATATAAATTTAAGGTCAGTTTTGTTATATATATTGTTATATATATTTCTGCTCTTGATTTAGGTATTATGTTTGTGCAGCTCATTTAAAAATGGAATGTATAAATTAAGAAGTAGAGATTAATAGATAGTCATCAATAATAGTCAAGCTTGCAGTCATGTTAGGTTTTCTAGATGTACAGAGATTTATTTCAGTTGGATAATCTTCAAGCCTTCCAAATATGGCATTTAAAAGGTTTTAAGAACTTAGAACTTTTCATGATAGTGAGACACATCTGCTCCTGGCAGCGCCAATCTACTTCAAGAGGATGGTGGGTATTGAAGAGGCTCCTTATGGAGTTTATTAGCCATTTGGGCAAGAAACTGCTTTTGCCTGGATTGCTTGATGTTATGCTGTATGAATTGGACAAGCAGGACCCACAGAAAAATGACTGCTGAATTTGTCTAAAGTTGAGACAGTCCTTCAGGGTTCCTGCTTCATGAGAGAACAAAAAGAGTCTGCTAGACATTCAGCAGGACACAGAAGAAAGTGACTGACAAACTTCCAATATAGGTGGAACTGTCTTTGAAATTTCTTGCTGCCAGATACTGTGGGCCTGTAAGCTGAAGATGGGTGCCCAGTGTTACAGAAGAACTTTGGGTTACTGTTCAGGCAGCGAGAGGTCTCTGTCAATTCCAGAGTTTTGGAAATTGCTTACAATGCACTTTCTGTTTGCTTAGGTAATATTATGTCTTTCTGGAGTCTTTGATGGAGTTGAAGACTAGATCGTTATAGCATTTCTTAGTTATGATAAAAGATAAAGTAGATATAACTATTGTAACCGTAATTCTTGCTTGATACCTTGATATATAACTTTACTGTGTTAAAGTTAAAATCTTCCTTTTTAAACAGAAAAGGGGAAATGGTGTGGGAAGTTCTTCTGTATTTGTGTTGCTTTTATTGGTTAATGAATAAAACTGCTTTCACCCAATGGCTTAACAGTAAGGCTAGGCGGGGAAATCTGAACAGAGATGCAGAGAGTGAGTAGGCGGAGACAGACACCTGGACACCAGACGGAACCTTACTAGTAGGTTACAACCATGTGGTGATACCCAGATTAATAGAAATGGGTTAATTTAAACTGTAAGTGCTAGCTAGAAATACACTTAAGCTATTGGCCAAACAGTATTGCAATTAATACAGTTTCTGTGTGTTTATTTCGGGTTGAGTGGCTGGGAAGCAAACGAGCAGTCTCTGTCTACAGATAAGAAAGAATAATGTCTGGTAAAATGGAGAGTAGCTGCTAGGGTTGGATACCTTTCATAGGCTGTGCTGGGAAATGGCTCTGCAGGGCTTGGAGTGCAGTGCCGACATAGCTGTTGAACCCTGAGTTCATTTTCTTGATTACTCATTTTTTTTTTTAACCTACAAAATGGGAATGGTAATAACATGTGTCTCAGAGTTGTTGGGAGGTTTTAGTTTTGTATTTTGTGTTTTCAGTGCTAATAATCAAACTCTGCTTCGTGGCTGTGGCTCAGGCTGCCATTCAACCTCTCAGTTGATCTTTACTCCACCATCATGAACTCTGGTGCTCTGAAACCATTACCTAACTTAAACACTTTGTTTTAGTAAGTTGCCTATGTCATAGTGTTTTATCACAACAATAGAAAAGTAACTGATACATGCACTGAGCTGTCCTTTGGGCCCTGGGAATTTTTTGGGTTCATTTGTAAGCTAAGTATGCAATGAGTGTGTCTGTTAGTATTCATTTCATTTTTATTTTTTCCCTTTTCTCTTTGATATGCTGGTGATGGAGATAGTCCCTCAGTGTGTTTGGAGAATAAATGTGGACATCCCTGAGGAGGCCAATCAGAATCTTTCATTCAGCTCTACTGAACGATGGTGGGAGCAGACAGATCTGACCAAACTCATCATCTCCAGCAATAAACTTCAGTCCCTCTCTGACGACCTCCGACTCTTGCCTGCCCTTACTGTTCTTGATGTAAGTTGACTATAATTATGGTATTTTAGTTGAAAAGACTTAGTTTATGCCAAATGGAAGAGCTAAATTTATGCTTTGCTAAACAGGAAACCTTCCTTGCTGAGCATGTAGAATGCAAGATAAATGACAGTCTGAGTCAGAAGGTTGGCTGCATCTTCCATGCACAGAGTCCTGGTGGAGACCCTGGGTTTAAATGAGTCAGTGTGTACAAACAGAACTGGCACCTGGCACCTTTTATTCTAGTCACTAAAGCAAGTATAGGACTTGGGGCCTCTTACATTCTGGTTTTCTTACTTGCCCTCAGACTGAAACTGTTCACCCGAATTCTTTGTGTGTTTAACTGAGTCTGTTTTGTAGTGCGGGTTTTCTTGTCATGGGGTAAGTAAAGTACAAAGGATTTATTTCAGAATCTTTAGGCTCTTAGTGTACTTGGCAGTGGCGCAGTGTCCCTTCTGTTCATGTGGAAACGATGGATGTAAGCAGTGCCGTTCTTGGAGGTGTATTTGTTTTGTCTGTAAAATAACAAACAATAGTCTGTCCTACTCTGAGGTTCTTTGTGCTGTGAAGACAGTATACGTCTGAGAATGTGAAGCTGTTCTCCCCGCTCGTGTCTGCTCTGTGTGTGACGTGCACAGACCATCAGGGCCCTGCTGTCAGCTTCCACCTCTCGAGTTTTCCAAAATTCTACTCAGGTCAAGTTTGTTGTCTCTTTTCATTTTGGTAATGTTTAAATTCCTAACTTGTTACTTCACGATTTCTGAGTAACAGTTTGATCAGTATACACAGAGCAGATTACTAATCACCCAACACATGGCCATTGAGTTTGAAGAATAGGTTTAGTGAATAATTTTGTTCAGTGTCAAAACTCAAATATTACTAATTGTCAGACTAAGAATGTTGACTTTGTCTTGTATTAATTTTAGATACATGACAATCAGCTGACATCGCTTCCTTCAGCTATCAGAGAGCTAGACAATCTTCAGAAACTTAACGTCAGGTAAAGTGTGCACCTATTTCTAAGATTGCAGTTACAGTGGTCTGAACCTGAAATCCCTTTTCTTCACATGACAATCACCTGAAGCCACAGTGTGGCCCAGTGGGAAGCAAGGTTGAACACTTACCAGACTCTACACTAGACCAAAGGCAGAACAATAAGACCAGATCTTTGCATCATCCCAGAAACTAGTTACGGAAGGAAGAACAAGAATTTAATGATTCAGTTACGGTTTTTCTCTGTAGAGGAGTCTTGCTGGTTGGCCCAGTGTGACTCCAAACTGCTATGCTCAGAGACTCCTGCCTTAGCTTCACAAGTCTGTGGGGCCATACCCAGCAACTTTATTTGTATATTTGATTGGTTTTTAGAATTTATTACATCCTGTTTGATTTTACAAATTAAAGGCCTATTGATTTTTATATTTTATGTTTAGGAGATACTGTTGACTCTTGTTTTACTAAGCCATCAGAATCTCAGGTTTTAAATTACCAGGGTAGCCTAAAAATCTAGGTATTACACATTAGGTTAGAAATACTCATTATTTCCACTAATGGTGAAGACTTTTGTGCTTTTTTTTGTTTTGTTTTGTTTTGGTTTTGGTTTGAGCTTTTGGTTTTGTGGTACCTGGTGGAGAACTCAGGACCTCATGCATGCTGTGCAACTGAACTAAGCTGCAGCACGCATGACTTTACTATTAGTAATTAAATGTGTCCAAACACCTTTGGGCTGCATAAGCATATTTCTGGTACTACATTGCTTAATGTGTTTGAGGGTAGGCACCCAAGGTGGTAACTAATCTTTTGCTGTCAGTACACATCCAGATTAAGAAAGTCCCTTTGTCTTATCTATGTTATATAGAGTCAAGCTCTGATATTCTTTCAGAAGAACAAACAAAAGGTACTTTAAGCATAGTTTGACTCACTTGTTTATAAAATACATACTGTTACTGATATATTGGGCATAATATACTTGAAGGTGGTTTTTGGTGATACATTAACTAGGAGGAAAAGCAACTCCTTAATAACAGTTTGGTGAAAACTTAATGAACTGCAGCAAGACTGCTGCATTTGAAGCTGCACTGGAGCTTTTTCCTCCCACAAAGCCAGGCATATGGACCTCAAAGCAGGAAGAAAGAATTGGACAAGAACAAGGGCGTGCAAGGAGTAAGGTGGGCTTAACCCATCTAGGTAGAGTGATGGGTAGGGAAAGGAAATGGAGGAAATAAAGCAGACAGCTGGATTGACTGCCTTCCCTAACGAGGTCCTGTCAATGTTCTGACTTCAGCTCAGCAGCCTTCAGTAGTCAGAAACGTAACAACTACTCATTTATGTTTTATGAACACCTTTTGGGTATTCATCTATGTAGTTTTATTTTGATATAATAAATATAAAGTTCCTGGTATTTCCTTTTCCTCTGTTATATGTAAACTAACATAAGAAAATCGGGTAAATTTTATAATTAAATAGTTAAGCTGTGATGCACCTGAAGACTTGTTCATGCATCTCTCTTTTGGTGTTTTTCAAGACAGGGTTTCTGTGTGTAACAGCCATGGCTATCCTAGACTTCCATTGTAGACCAGGCTGGCCTCGAACTTTCAGGGATTCACCTGTTCTGCCTCCTGAGTACTTTTATTAAAGGCTTGCACCATCATGCCCTGCAATTGGTAACGGTTAACTCCAGTTAAAAACAGAAAAATGCACTAATTTTTATGCTGAACAAAGGCACTGCTGGGCTGGGTGGTGGTGGCACATGCCTTTAATCCAGCACTCAAGAGGCTAAGACAGGTGGATCTCTGTGAGTTCGAGGCCAGCCTGGTCTACAGAGTGAGTTCCAGGACAGGCTCCAAAGCTACCGAGAAACCCTGTCTTGAAAAACAGCGAGACAAAAATCAAAGGCACTGCTGAGATTTGAATCCAGGATCTCCTGTTTACTACACGGGTGCGTTAACTAAGCCACAGCACCACGGCCTCATTTGTCTCCTAATCACCAGGATGTGTACTGTCCTACTGGAACTTTCACATCAATAGGTTGAGTGTCTCCTCAGAAGAGTTCAAATACAAAGGCCAAGCAAGTATAGAGACAAACTGAGTATTGCCAAACCTACCAGACCTGAAGATAGAAATAACAGGGGCTGGAGAGATGGATGGGTCAACAGTTAAGAAAATTGTGTACTCTGCTAGTGATCTGAACAACAGAAGCTCACATCTGTCCATATCAGACACACAGACATACATGCAGCAGAACACCTAGACACATAAAAATAAATGTTAGGAAAATATATATGTATATGTAAGTTTTGTTGTAATATGTATGCAAACATTTTTTCACAAACAATATAAAAATTTAAGAGTCCAATAAGTCCCTTTCACGTTCTATTTTAAGTAGGCAGATTATAAGCAAACAACCAAATGTTTACAAATTACTTGTTAACTTTGTTGATTTAGATTTCTGCTGATGAGTGTATATTTTGTAGATATGGCTCTTGATAAACACTTGAACAGATAGCACCATTTGATTTTTATGATGAGTCTATGTGGTTAGTTGACAAAAATGCCTTTAAGTATTTCTTATGTATAGTCTACCAAGTCACTCAGCATTTATTTTATTAACCAATAGCCATAACAAACTGAAAATGCTTCCCGAAGAAATTATAAGTTTAAAAAACCTGAAGGCGCTGCACCTCCAACACAATGAGCTGACGTGCCTACCTGAAGGCTTTGAGCAACTTTCCAGCTTAGAAGATTTAGTAAGTGGGGATTCTTTGATGTTTGCATGATTTGGGGCTGGTGGGCATTTTTTACTAGACTGAAGAAATAAATTATGATTCAAATTGTAGGACACAGACAGCTGACTTTGTGAGTAGCTTATCAGAAATTGTTGCTAAGTTACTAGCTGTAAACTTGGTTTTTCTTTTATCAAGTGAACTTTAAGTTATACTTCAAGAATAGAGTTTGGAAGAGAAACAATGGGTCTGCCTTCGTTATTCAATCAGATAATCATAACTACAGTTTCAGAGTATCCAACAACTCTCTTTCGGATACCAGAGTGTAGCTGGAGTTACAGAAAGTGTGAATCATGTAGGTGCTGGGTCCCAAACCTGGGCCTTCTCCAAGGCCATTCAGTGCTCATAACCCCTGAACAGCCCACCCAGTCCCTATCCCAGAGTCTTTTATACCTTAATAGAGAGAGGAGAGCAGTCTTCAAAGTACGTCAGCTCTTTGTTCCTGTCTTCTATATAATATATTCTATGTTCTGTGCTAGCCGATGACCCGGCTGCCCTGCATATTCCAATCTCTTCAGTGCTTACTTGACTCCAGCTTTCAAACTGGCAAAGCTTTCATGCTGCCTGTTTCATCTTCCTCAACTACAGTCAGCCATGAGTCAGTACAGTGTTGTTTTAATAATTTTAAGAATAAAACCATAGACAGTTTATATTGACTTTATATATGGCAAGATAAGTAGGTCTCACCCTTAATACAGTAAGAAACTAAGGCTTATACAACAACAGGAAATTTGTCCTAAGTCATGCAACTGAAAAAGAATGAAATTAAAATTTAAAGATGGTAGTTTGCTTCCAAAGCACATTCCTGTTTTTTTTTTCCTCTATAAATGAGTGAGATTCTACCATAAGGTGTTTCACTGGGAAGGCTCAGTCCTCTGACCGAGAGGCTTCAACCCATAGTATGTGTTCTCGTTATTGTGTACTGGTCTCTTGTCCTTGGCATGTTTTAGAAAACTGAGTTATTATTTTAGCCTTAAGTTTTATTTCTTATTAATGGACAAGTTATTTCTGAGTGTTTAAGTATTTATTCTGTATGTATACCTTCCTGAAGCATGATTAATAAAAACTCAGAGACAGATATTGGGGTTCTCCCTGAAGACCAGAAAAGCAAAGCAGCCAGTCACTGACTCTTACCTTGACCTCAATACGAAAATGGTGATCCTGTCTCCAGTAAACCTCAGAATGCAGCTGAACTGAGAGCTGTCTCCTCCCATTTATATTTTGTATTCCTCTCTAGTTCTGGGATTTAGAGCGTGCACCACTAACGCCTGGTTTCATGTGTGTCTTCTTGAGTGAGTGTATGCCATATCTATCCAGGTGCCAAAAGAAGGTGTTGGAGTCCTTGAAGCTGGAGTTACAGGTGGATTTGGGTGCTGGGAACTAAATTGAGTCCTCTGAGAGCAGCTAGCTCGCTCTTTTGACTGTTGAGCCAACTCTGCAGTTCCAAAATTTTTTTGTTTTGTTTTGTTGTTGTTTTTTTAATTAAAGAGCATTATTTAGAGGTGAAAGTAAAAAAGAAACCTTGTAATAAGTGAAGTTTTCTCTTTCTACTTAATGTGTTACCAGAAGTTATTTGCATAATAAAAGGATATTTCAATTGAGAATTTTTCTTAAATATGCAATATTAAATAAAATACCAATGTGTGAAATCCACCAAAACAGATTAAAATATAAACACCTGCAATCATTTAGGCTAATATTTCCTGTCATTATGTCAAACTTGCTTAGCCTAAAAATACTAAGTAAACATTTGATGAAAGAATGGCTTGGCATAAATATGGATCAGTTTATATATCATCTTTGCTTTAAAAAAATTTGTTCTAGGAGTATGGTGTTTTGCCTGCATGTATGTCTGTGTACCATGTCTGTGTCTGGTGCCTGCAGAAACAGAAGTGGGTCCTGGTCCTGGAGTTACAGGCGGTTGTGAGATGCCATGCGGGGCTGGGAATAGAACCTCTGTCCAATGCAAGAGCAACAAGTGCTCTTAACTGCTCAGCCATCTCTCCAGTCACAAATATTCTTATGCAATAATTAAATATTTGGCCATTTTAATACTGCTTAGAAGTTTCAGAATTTCTTAGTTAGAAACTCTTCTTTGTCAGTAATTAGTTCATTTTGGAATAATTTTGGGATTATGCAAAGGCTGTAAAATTACAGTGAGGAGAGTTCCCAAATGCCCTTCAACCTGACTTCCAATTTTTTAGAATATCTATTTATCCTTTGAAAATTTTATACATGTTTGTCAGATATCTTGATCATGCCCACTCAACTTTTCCTTCCTGGACACTTTCATCTCATGCCCCACATTTTTTTGGTTTTGTTTGGTTTGGTTTGGATTTTCAAGACAGGATTTCTCTGTGTAGCCATAACTGTCCTGGAACTCACTCTGTAGGCCAGGGGGACATCAAACTCACAGAGGTCCGTCTGCCTCTGCCTCCCGAGTGCTGGTGTTAAAGGCGTGTGCCACCACTGCCCAATTTAGGCCCTCACGTTTTCATTTCCTGTGTGTGTGTGTGTGTGTGTGTGTGTGTTACCTGGTGAGTTCAGTTAGTGCTGCCTGTTGGAATGTTGACTTAACTTGGCTTGATTGTGTGCAGCTGACCACAGCTGCTGTGAGTTCAGTGGCTGTGCCATGTCCAGAAAACAATGTCCCTCCCTTCCTCCAGCTCTTACATTTCATTCTACCCACTTCTTCCCCAGTGCTCCTGAACTTTAGGGGATGTTATATGTGTCTCTTTCAGGACTGAGCACTCATTTTTCTCAGCACTTTGACTAGTTGTGTTTATATTAACTGTGGCCTACCCCAAGAAACTTTTGTAGTCAAGATTGGGAGTAGCACTTATCTATGCTTATAAACGTTTAGAAGGCGGTTTAACAGTGTGGCCACTTAGCAGTACCACAGTAGTAAGATCCTGTATCTCACCTCCAGGGCCTATGATCTCTCCAGCCTGGGCTTTTGACTGTGTTCACAATACCAGCCTGAATTCTCTTCTGTAGAGCAGGCCTCATATCCAAGCACAAAGCTGTTGTTACCCTCATAACAATCAAACCACTACTGTAGGTGCATCTTGCCTAGCAGGCCATTATTGCAGCACGCACAGTCCAGTACTGAGTAAGCTTGTTGTATCCTTTCTCCCCCAGTGGCTGCACCTTCTGGCATTCTGAAAGCTAGCCAATGGGTTTTCTATTGAACCCAGATTATTTTTGCTTTACAACCAGTATATGGTGTCTTCAGCAATAGCGTCTTACCATCATGTAGTTATGGTGGACAGCCAAAAGCAATGGCAGCAGCCTGTGTTGCTGTGTGTGTGTGTGGGGGGGGTGTCTTTGAGACCTCCCTGACCAATAACTCTGAAATCTTTCATGGATATATATTTACTGCTATTTAGTCACTGATAGATTATTCTCTCCTCTCTTTAAAGGATCTTTCAAGCAATCGTCTTGCAGCTGTGCCTGCTGGTTTTGCTTTGCTGTCCAGTCTGCTGAGGCTCAATCTTTCCAGTAACCAGCTGAAAAGTTTGCCGGCAGAAATAAGCAGGATGAAAAGTAAATCTCCATATTAAGTACTGTATGAATTCAACGTTGTGCAGCTTTCTTTAGAAAAATAAGAGGATAATTATAGAGAAAGTAATTTTTTATTATAAATGCAAACTCGACTTAGTAAGATTTTCTCCAGACTATTATATCTAGGGTTTGCCTAAAGAATGTCTACCAAAACACATGTAGGCATAGGACAAAATGAAATGTGACTGGGGAGTAGAGGAAAAGTACATACTGGGCAATTGATGAAGATTCTGCTTCATGCTGTCTTAGTTTATTCACCATCTTCTCCTCAGCTGTCTCCACCTGTGATGTGTGGGGATGCAACTGTAGCTTCTTCGCAGCTTGGGAGTAGTGATGTCAAGTGGGAGCCCTGTTTTGCTTGAGTGCCCAGATTGTTAATTTTTTTTTAAATAATGAAATATCAAAAGTGAGTGCTTTTGTTCGTTCATCATTGCCAGTGTATAGTGTTGCAGAGATAACATTAAAGGACAGGTGCACTTCGGTGCCTCTGTATTTGTGTTCTTGACTATCTCAGCTCTTAATTTAGAGTGTAAAACTTTTTTTGTTTAAAAGCAGAAAACAGTGTTTCTGGATTCATGATTGGACTACAGCACTCATTATAGACTGTTTACCATAGCTAGTCTTTTGGCTAATAATCTATAATATGTTTTTTTGAGAAAATATAATTTAAAAGTTATATAATGAGAAATTGATAAAGATTTTGAGTTATGCTATCTCATGTAACTCATGGCCTCAGACTTGACCTTGGTCTTCCTGCTTCCACCTCCCTGGTGCTGGGATTACACAGGACAGTTACCATGCCCCGCTCCTGTTCATATTTTTTTAAAAATATTTATTTATTTATTATGTATACAATATTCTGTCTGTGTGTATGCCTGCAGGCCAGAAGAGGGCACCAGACCCCATTACAGATGGCTGTGAGCCACCATGTGGTTGCTGGGAATTGAACTCAGAACCTTTGGAAGAGCAGGCAATGCTCTTAACCTCTGAGCCATCTTTCCAGCCCCCTCCTGTTCATATTTTTAAGTCTCTATTTTATGGAAGATTTTTATGAAAAATCACATAGATGTGATTTTTATACAACTGATTATCGATAAGTTTGAATTAAATTGTAAATCTTTGATGTTCTACTGTTCTATTAAAGAAATTATTTTGGGCAGGCCTTGACCTTAGATACCAGAACTTAAGATCCTACTTATCTTTGCCATTTTCAATAATGTCACTACACTGAACTAAGCAGTATATAATGAGAAGGACAATGTAGTGAGGAGGACAGATGCCCTGTCTCCAGAATCGAATGAAGAAGTATCCAGGAGATGAAGATACTGAAAGTAAAGACATTCTTGAAATACAGAGTTTGATCTTATTGTACAGATTAGCTTAGATATTAGGGAAGCCATGTTGGAGTTAGGGAAGTCTATGAGCCAGTAGGCTGAAGATGGATGCCCCAGTGTTACAAAAGAGCTTTGGGTGACTGTCCAGGCAGCGAGATGTCTCTGTGAAGTCTAGAGATTTGGAAGTTACTTACACTTTCTGTTTATTTAGGTAATATTATATCCTTCTGGGGTCTTTGATGGAGTTGAAGACTAGATAGTTTTTCTTAGTTAGGATAAAAGATAAAATATAAAACTTTAGACTTTAAAGATAGGATAGATGATAGAGTACGTTTCTTAATTTGCCAAATGTTAATGCACATACAGAAAGATATCTCACATCATCAAAAGCTCATGACGGAATGTTTGCATGCAAGCATGATGTTCTGAGTTTGGATTCCTGGCACACATGTAGATCTCAGTGCAGGAGAAGTGATGGCAAGAGATCTGGGACTCGCTGGTCAAACCATTGAGGTCCGAGTTCATTAAGAGAACCTTCAAAAAGTGGGTGGAAAAGAGAAGAAACTGAACAGCAACATCTGTTCTTCACATGCACAAGCATGTGTACCTGTGTGCAAACACATGTACATTACACACAAAATTGAACAAGGAAAAGAAGATTGAGAAAAGGAAGAGGCAACATGGATAGGTAAAAGGATGGGAAAGAGTATATAGAAATCCAAGGCTTGCATAAAAATACAAATCTAAGCCACTGCTTGCCATAGGATAGGTTCTTTACATTTCCTCATTCAACAAATATATGCATCTTTAAACACTTTTAATTGCACTAAGCTCTTTTAAAGACTGTAATTGAGAGCAGTACAGCTTATACCACTTAGATACTTTAAGAGTAGTTTAGCAGAGAACCTGTATTTTTAACTGTATTTCAGAGATGGTCTGGACTATTCAATATTGATTTTTAACATTACCATTTATCTTTAATTAAATGTAAAAACCAATTTTCACTCATTCAGTTCAAGGACACATGCATGTTTTTGGTATCTATGAGAACAAACTCAGAAGTCTTCATTGTGACATGTTTACTAGGTCTGCGAGTTTTCTGTGTTAAAGTGTTTTTTATTGTCTTTGAATATGTATTGTAGGATTGAAGCATTTGGATTGTGACTCCAATCTCCTGGAGACTGTGCCCCCTGATGTGGGCAGCATGGAATCACTGGAATTGCTTTATTTGCGGAGGAATAAATTACGTGTTCTACCTGAATTTCCTTCTTCTAGACAACTAAAGGTACTATTTAGTTAGTACACCATTGTATGTTTCCCAAAAGTTATTTATGAAGTTGAGGTTTTTAAAGAGTAGCTATTCTTTGATCATAAGTAGTCTATAGATTGTATTTTTCTTTGTTGATGTATTTCAACATTTCAGTCTACTACTGAGAGTACTGATAATTTGTTGGTGATGGAAAGAGATAATTATTTTCCAGAGTAGGACTTGGTGTGCTTCACGTGGTGAGTAGTGTGTGGCTGGAGGAGCCCTTGTAGTGAGGTGAGGAGCTCTGCCTGGCTGTGCTGTGCTGTGTGAGGCCTCGTAGTGAGGTGAGGAGCTCTGCCAGGTTGTGCTGTGCAAGGCCCTTGGCTGCAGCGGGGGTAGGTGTGGGCCTCATTCTTCAGGCTGCCACGTTTCAGGTTTTCCTGATTGCAGTGACATTTCCAGAATTAATCTTTTGGCTCTAACATTTGGTGTAACATTAATGCTGCCTCCTGCTCGATTTGCTCTGCCTTAATTCTCTTTTGGTGTCAGGAAAGTGGCTTTTAAATTGAATCATAATGGTGAATTTTTTAAAGTGCTGGGAAATTCCATTCACTATGGTAAGATTTTATTGATAATTTTAGAGTCTGTTAGGAAGGTGGTGTATGTAATGGTCTCTAGTGATAATTCTTTAGCACTTGTTACTATGGAAACAGTTTTGAATTGGATTCAGTTGTTTTGAAACTAGTTCTTCATCAGTATTGTATAGATTTATACATATAAATGTAACTAATAAATTGTTTCTCTGTTCTAGTGTTGTAAAGAATGTTTCTGCCAGGTTGAACAATATTTATTTTAAATTGTCAAAAAATGTTTTCCTTTCATCATATTTTAGCTTTAAAATAGGTTATATCTAAATACCATGATCATTACAATGTTGATTTTTCTCTGTGTTGCTGTGATTTAGAACCAAGAGTATTCACACTTATTTTCATTGTGTAGTGTAAAGCTGAATGAAATTTCTTATATGTGGTTTCATAGGAATTGCATCTCGGTGAAAACCAGATCGAAATGTTAGGTGCAGAGCATCTTCAGCACTTGCAGGCCATCCTGGTGCTGGACCTAAGGGGCAACAAACTGCGGTCTATTCCTGAGGAAATGTGCCTGCTGCAGTCTTTGGAAAGGCTCGACTTGAGCAACAACGACATCAGTAGGTATGCTTAAAGATTAAATGGCTAGGAATTAGAACTCATTCTGCATTGGATTGTGTTTTTGTAAGTCCTTAAAAAAAAACTCTTAGTTATCTATTGAGCTCATACTGTATACAGAGAAAGATTAGTTTTCTTCCTTGACAGCCAAGTTAATACATTAGTGAAAGCAGATGTGTAGGTACATATCAGAATTTTGTTTGTTTGTTTTTGTTTTTGTTTTCTGAGACAGGGTTTTTCTGTATCTTTGGCTGTCCTGGAACTCACTCTATAGACCAGGCTGGCCTGGAACTCACAGAGATTCCCCCTGCCTCTGCCAAGTACTGGGATTAAAGCTTGCACCACCACACCTGGCTTATTTAAGAACTCTTAAGGGCTGTTTTGAATCATTTTCGTACATGGCCTCATCTTCAGATAGTTATTATTCATGCTTTGACAGAACAAATATTTCATAGGTATCTATTGGGCTTGGATGATGAACATAGAATTGAGAGAAACATAAGTGCTTGGGTGACAAAGGGTTTATAATTAGAGAACTTAGGCAGAATCAAGACTAGAGTGAAGCAGGTTAGTTGCTTGATGCTACACACCTGAGTTCCAGCAGCTGATCTTTAAATTGGGATGTTTAATTTCATGTGAAAGTTGGTGTGTATGATCAGTGAGTACATCGGGAGGAAACAACACACACAGAACTTTGGAATTCTTAATAGGGTCCAAGTAGAGAAGTCTAAGAATTTAGGCCAAATTATCAGTTTTAATTAGTTCAGAGCCACCAACACACGGTGACAACACTGCCCTTGAGTGCAAACTCATTAAAGCAGATCGTTGATGGTGGCGAGTACGGTGCTCTGGAAAGGGGTGTTTGTGGGCGGTAGGCTTTAAAGATGGCCTGTCAGCGCAGTCATATTTGTCACTAAAAATCATTTCTCAGTGCAGTTTGTTGGCAACTGTGTGATGAGGCCTGTGATGTGGCTGCAGTGGCCAAGGGGAGAAGGGGATGGAAATGAGGGAGATGAACCAGGATAAGTTGTCTTTAGTAGCTGATGGCTGGTTATGTTGGAGTTGAAGAAGAGCAGAGTGATAGGGAAAGAATGGTGAAAGTTACTGTTTAGAACAGATTAGCCTTGGGGCTGGCGAGGTGGCTTAGTGGTTAAGATCACTGGCTGCTCTTCAGAGGTCCTGAGTTTAATTCTCAGCAACCACATGGTGGCTCACAGCCATCTGTAATGGTGCCTGCAGCAGACTTACAGGCGGAACTCTGTATACATAGTAAATAAATGGAAGGGAGGAGAGAGGGAGGAAGGATTAGCCTGCAGATCTTTAGGGGCTGAAACTCTCAGCATTATACAGCAAAGACACACAGTAGGTTTTGAGTGGGATGATGAAAGGGTATGTGGTTTCCAGCCATTGTAGCTGTTTGCGCCCTCCAGACTTTGTAACATGGAATTCCTCACTGCTGCTGGAGCTGCTTGCCAGGAGGTTGCCAGCCTTCTTGTGTCTGAAACACTGTATCATTTTCCAGTGGGTAGCTGTTTCCTAGGTGAGTTTGGGCTCACTTAAGAAGCAGTGAAGGAAAAAACAGATTGTAAGGTTACTACTGAATTAGAATCTTATACACTAGGGCCTAGAATTTGTTCTAGTTTTTGGAGGTGCCCTTCTGTAATTGGGTGAAGTCTGATTTATCACTGGGCTGGGCTTGCTAGTGGCTGGTTGTTTAGCATCTGTGTGAGCACCAGGCAGATAGAGCAGATGCTATAGTCATGTCCTGTAGCAGCTTTAGTGTGAAGTTGGAAATGTGTCTGGCTGTCCCTTTGTATGTTTAGAACTTGAAGGGAAATATTTTAGGTTTGTTCATGTTCCTCTTTGAGATTATTACTTGGTATGTTGTTGTCATTTGTTACTTTATAGTCATGCCTTTGGTTGCTTTAGACATACATGTAATGCTTCCCTGAAATCAATTTGTTCTGTAGTCTGCCCTGCTCATTGGGAAACCTTCATTTGAAATTCCTGGCACTAGAAGGAAATCCTCTAAGAACCATTCGAAGAGAAATTATAGCTGTAAGTTCTTTTAGAATTTAGCACTTTATTTTTAAATTAAAATTGAGGTATACATGTTGATGCACAAACCTTCCAAGTGTGCCTTGCTAACAGTGAGCCTCTGTCTCCACCTTTCAGAAAGGAACTCAAGAAGTCCTAAAATATCTGCGGAGCAAGATCAAAGGTACTGCCATTTTCTCCTGTATTTTCCAGAGGACCAGGATTTAATTCAGCTATGTGCAATTCTAGTCCCGGGGATCTGACACCCTCTTCTTGACTCTGACAGTAATACATGCAGGCAAAACATGCACACATAAAAAAATAAAAAAAAAAACAATTAAAGTTATAAAGGAGGGGCTGGAGAGATGGCTCAGTGGTTAAGAGCACTGCCTGCTCTTCCAAAGGTCCTGAGTTCAATTCCCAGCAACCACATGGTGGCTCACAACCATCTGTAATGAGGTCTGGTGCCCTCTTCTGGCCTGCAGACATTCACACAGAATATTGTATACATAATAAATAAATAAATATTTAAAAAAAAAGTTATAAAGGAATATGACCAAATTCCTAGGGAAGTTCTAAATAACAAAACATTTAATTAATACTACTAATGCTTCACTTGGTCTTATTTCTGTTGCTACTGTCTTTTGTTCTGTTTTTATGAGTGAAATATTCATATTATGTTGCTTGGGGTATAATTATTTGACAATTTTCTCAAAAGTAGTTATTTGATTCACAGTAGTGTGAATCTGTCATGTGCTTCTGTTGTACTCCTGCTGCTGTGGCTCTTGTTGCTTTTGCTGTAGGATGACTTCAGTTTCTGCTTATTAGTAAGAAAGTTGAATGTGTATGTTCACATGTTAGGAAAACATCCTCGTGGTGTAATATCCAAAAGCTTTATTATACAAATTGACAGATTTTAAATGATTGGAAATAATTAGCTTTATTGTGTTACAAATGAAAAGATAAGTATATTATTTGGTAGACATTTGAGGGAAATAGTATTTTTCTGATGTTGGCCGGACCCTTCCACTGGACCATTATTTTGCTGAAGAGAAAGGATTTCTTGTTAGATGCTGTAGTTATCTTGTGAAGATTCTTTCTAAAGAAATAGCTTTCTGGTGGTGCAGGTGCACACCTTTAATTCCAGCACTCAGGAGGCAGAGGCAGACGGATCTCAGTGAGTTCAAGGACAGCCTGGTCTACCAAGTGAGTTCCAGGACAGACAAGACTGTTACACAGAGAAACACTATCTCGAAAACCAAAAAGAAAGAAAGAAAGAACTGAATTGCCCTACAGTAGGATGATTTTGGGTGATGTGGATAGGTAGTATTTGAAGCCACACTGTAGAACTTTATTTTCTATTAATATGTTCTTAAATGAGGTCTGAGTTGTTGGGATTAAAATATATGACTATTGGACTAGAGAGATGGCTCAGCAGTTAAGAGCACTGGCTGTTCTTCCAGAGGACCTGGGTTCAATTCCTGGCACCTACATGACAGCTCACACTTGTCTGTAACTCCAGTTCCAGGGTTTCTGACACCCTCACACAGACACACATGTAGTCAAAAACACCAATGAACATAAAATAAATTATACAAATAAATATATGACTATGTACCAGTATTATTAATGCTATATAGAAATCATGTATACTTTTATTATATATTATTACCAATTTAAAGATGGCTTTGTAGTAGTAATATTCACTTTATATAACTTACTTTTCCAGATGATGATGGGACCAGTCAAAATGATTCTGTTCCTGAGACTGCCATGACGCTACCAAGTGAATCCAGAGTCAATGTCCATGCCATAGTCACACTAAAGCTGCTAGACTACAGGTATGCAGTTTGTCCTAGTTACTGTTCTGTTGCTGTGTCAGAGCGCCATGACCAAGGCTGCGTCTGAAACACTGTTTAATTCGGGGCTCACAGTTATGTTCATGGTTGCAGAGAGTTAGAGTCTTGGCAGCAAGCAGGCAGGCATAGTCTGGAGCAGCATGCAGTGCAGGGAGGGACGGAGAGAGGGAGGAAATGGAGGGGGAGGGAGAGAGAGCAAATGAGAGCGCGAGCAGAAACAGGAATGATGTGGGCTTTTGAAACCTCAAAGTACACTGCCAGTGACACACCTTTTCCAGTAAGTTCACACCTCCTAATCCTTCCAAACAGTCCCACCAGCTGGGTCCAAGCATTCAAATATATGGCTTTATGGAGGCCATTCTCATTCAGACTATCAGAGTCCATCTGTATAGCATAGGAGATGCATTCGGTGCCCGTGCTATGGTCGTGCTGAAGCTACTAAGTACAGATATGTAGCCCACCATTGCAAGGCCCATAGGAAACTTTTGACAAAGGACAGCTAGTGAGGAGAAGACAGTCATGGAAGCAGATTCCCCTTTGTAGGTTCCTCAGAAGAATTTAAAAGTGGGTTCAAAGAGGATCTTGAGTCAGAGAGGTAGAGTGACTGAGTATCTGGGAGAGAAACTGTGGGAAGGAGGTAGAGTGGCTGAGTATCTGGGAGAGGAACTG